ATAATAGCACATTTAAAATATCTGCGTGCACAAGGACATACATCAGTCACATCCTATTGGCCAAAACGAGTCATATGACCAACCCTGACACTGGGTAGAGAAATAGACTCTGACTATGGGAAGGCACTGGAAGTCATAGAACAAAGACTCTCGATTATGTATAACCTCCTTCAGAGGTTCAGAGAAACCTATGCTTCAGAGAAAACATAGAGTTGGAAACAATAATCGGATCTACCACAGAGAGTCAGCACAGTGGGGATATCATTAGGCTGAATGTACATTTCAAAGAGAACACTTTCGAGGTGGTAATAAATATTAGATATATAAATTATATTATGGTGATGCAGTTATTCAGCTACATACTTTATGGGCCTCCTCTCATATATTTAAGTGTTCTAAAAATATATATAATCTCTAGAGTATGAATGTCATTACTTTCTGAATTTATTTCCTTTTAATAGTTTTAGATTTAAGAATTGTTACAAAATAGTGTATTGACAGATTTTGCAAAATAGCTAGTGATTGGAAATTACATTTCTGCAGATGTGGCCAATATAAAGCTCCTTGCATGCAAAATCCAACCTAAGTTTAGTGTTACATTTTGAAAAAAGCAAATTAGTATTCTAAGAATAAAGTAGTCCTAGGAAATTATTATCTTTGCAAGGACTATAAAATGTGTCAAGTTCCTGGGGCTCCTGGGTGGCTCAGTTGGTTAAGCATCTGACTCTTGATTTCATCAGTCTCAGGTCATGAGATCAAATATACAAAGGCTCTGTGCTGAGCGTGGAGCCTGCTTAAGATTCTCTATCTCCCTCTCCCTCTCTGCCCCTTCTCCCCACCCCACCCCACCCCTGTGATGTGCTCTTTCTCTGTCTCTCTTAAAAAAAATGTAACAAGTTCCTCAGTCTGGGAAAATATTAAATAAATATCTAAAGAAACACTAAGAAGTGAAATAAAGTTGTAAAGTCTAAAAAGATACATGCTTTTTCTTTTTCTTCTTCTTCTCTCTCTCTCTTTTTTTTTTTTTTTTTTTTTTTTTTTTTTTTTTTTTTAAGCAGGCCCCAGGCTCAGCATGGAGCCCACAACCATGAGATCGAGACCTGGGCTGAGATCAAGAGTCAGACACTTAACCAACTGAGCCACCCAGGCATCCCAAATTCTTTTTACTTTTTAATCACACTATTAAAATCTTAAAATTAATAATTTTATATCAAGTATTGAATATCAGTCTATATATCCTAGAGTTGTAAATACACTTGAAGAAGTGACATTCTAGAATCTTCCTGTGCTCACTAGAAACTGGTCTCCTGAGCCACACACCTTGTCTTGCTTGCTCAGCCAACATGGGAGGAAATGGGAAGAGGAGGTTCTGGACTGACCTGAAGTCACTCATCTTCATTGTGTAACTCAGTTCTCTTCTGCTCTAAGATGTTGTTTCCCCATTTCACTCACAGGATATAACTCAAGTGGGTCAAAATTTAAGACAGCTCCTAAGATGGGGAGTGCCCTGCTATTAGAACTACAATTAGATCTTCACTGAAGAGAATTAGGAGGCGAGGAGGGCAGAGATGGTGTGATGATTCTATTCTGTCCTAATGGTAGCCTGAGAAGTGAGAACTATGTCTCCTGTGGCTCAAGCAAGTTACTCCCTGTAGAATTAGAAGCAGCCACGTGCATGGAGAAATAGAGACAAGCTCAATATCCAAGGAAAATCTCCCTATCATGCTAGCTGGGGTTTCTATCTTAAAAAACAGCTAGTTTCTCTGAGTCTTCCACGATCCCCTTAATTAGTCAAATACCTTCATAACATCTTACAAGCATGCTATTACCTGGGTTTCCTCCTCATTCTTGCTTCTGCCTCTCATCCTTAACACTGTCAAAACCTTTAATCAGCTAGACTTTATGCATTTATCCTCATTTTAACGTTGTCATTACTTACAGTCCATAAGATGTGTACAAAATCATATCAAATTGAATTACATCCCTGGATCTCAGATATTAGGATAAACAAGTCTCTGGCATTTTAAGATTTACCTCATAGTTTATATGCAGTCACATTGTATGCACCTTAAAAGTCTGGTCTTTCACAACTAAATTTGTCAGTCCCTTGACTTTAAAAATTAAAACAAAAATTGGCATAAACAATACTGCTGCTCTTAGGTGACAGTGTTTTTTTGAAAAAGGTTTCTGCTGGGACGCCTGGGTGGCTCAGTGGCTGAGCGTCTGCCTTCGGATCAGGGCGTGATCCTGGAGTTCCGGGAAGGAGTTCCGCATCAGGCTTCCTGCAAGGAGCCTGCTTCTCCCTCTGCCTATCTCTGCCTCTTTCTCTGTGTCGCTCATGAATAAATAAATAAAGTCTTTAAAAAAAAAAAAGAAAGAAAGAAAAGAAAAGAAAAGAAAAAGGTTTCTGTAATGTTCCAGAGAGTGGCCAGCTCTTTGCTAATCTTAAAATAGAGGCAATGGATACAAAATATTCAATGAGGGGCTTACTGCTTTCTTATGTAGAAGTCATTGATGCAGAACTGTCCAACCCTCTACCTCAAGCTGTATAGTCCAACTTTCTCTGCAGTTGTTTAAAATGAAGGACACGTTAATTTTTCTTAACTATATCTAAGGACACAGGGATGGTTATTTGACCTCTCATGGTCATCTCCTACACTCTACCACTCCATGATTTCAGTTTTGCAATGTGTAAAGACAAACTCTTCATTAGGCAAAAAACTGTTGAGCTTGAACCAGATCTCACCAGGAGAACATATGATCTTAGCGGGGATGCAGGGTTGGAATGAGGCATATTCTGCAAGGAAAATAATGACAGTGGAATACACTGAATTTTCATTCTTTGCTTTTATAATTTTTTTTAAAACACAGTCATATTCTTTCTGCAAATCTTCCCTGCTCTGTTTTATTTTGAGCAAGGAATAAAATTTGAGTTTTTTCTCCTTAAAAAAATCAAATACATTTCTAACAAAAAAATTAAGAGTAGTATGAATACAAATAATATAATTCAGACAGTTCCCATGAGCCCTACAATATCTAAATGGATCTTTTAAAAAATTATTTTAGTAAAAAGTTGACTTCATCTATACAAAATAACTTTTCCTTTTATCATGCATATAGCAATCAGGAGGTTATAGAATTATATTTATGTACAAGAACTGGTTAAAGATATTTTTGAAATAAGTGACTCAATATTTAAAGTGTATGAAAATGCTGGCAAACATCAATAGAGATATAGAAATACACTACACATCAAGTATCTATCTCACTGAAACCCCAGTACACTATCAAATGGTATATTACCAAAGTCCTCAAAATACTGAGAGAATCTGAGAGATATACAATTTTATATTAAATGTCTTAAAGTTTTACATGTGAATGCCTGCATTTGCGACCTTCCAGTTCATACTCACACAACATTCATTTTCTCAGAGCTTCCAAATAATGACAGATTTCACTTATTACATCTGATATTTCAAAATATCACCATAGAGGTACATATAAAAAATTTCATTATTATCTACTATTTTTCTTACATTGAAAATAAGCAGGTGTCAATGGATTATATTTTTTCATCAATACATCTTTAACCCTTTGAGGGTTTTTTTTTTTTAGTGCTTTCCAGAGGTAGGTAAGAACTGTTATTCAACTTAAAAGCAAAAGAGGTGCTAGAATTTAAGTTGGCTTCATAACAATGACAAGAGAGCAAGCCCTCACCTAAAAAAAAAGTCTCAAATTTTTTAACTTTTTTAACTTAATTTTTTTAAATATGTAGAAACAAAGAGCATAGAACAAATGATATAATGGGTTATAGTCTCTGTACCATAATACATATTAGACAGAGGTGCAAAATTAAGAATTCAGAATGAAATTCATCTATATATTTTTCAACTGCTTTGCATTTAATCTAATCTTTTTTTCTAGTATTTCGTTTTCACAATAACTTTCTCCTAGTTTCTTGAATGGCAATTTTACAGAGAAGGACAAGACTGGAGACCAGTTAAGATTAAAAGAACCAATCAAAGAGAGGCTAACATTCAAAAGAATTAGTTTTTTAAATTCTTTTTCAGTGGTTTGGGACATAATAGAAAACGTTTGAGCATATTGGAATTAGTTTCAAGGCAATAGAAGTTGTCACATGACAAGCAGTAAAAAAATATTTGTTACTGCTCCATTATCTAGCAGAGTATTCTCATTTCTTTGTGTGCTATGCTTCCCCTGTTCATTACATGAGCAGACAGCCAGGCAGTGACAGAAGTTGGCTGGGGGAGGCCGCAAAATACAGAGGGACTAATTAATGTTGGTTGACTAGTAGGTACATGGTGCTAAGGCCTTTCAAATGCATCAGCTCAATCTGTGTTCTATACAGCTCTACAGAGTCAGTTTATTACTTTATTTTATAGATAAATAAAATCTCAGCCTAGTTAAAGAACTTGCCTAAATTACTTATAAGTTGTAGGGCTGAGATTTGAATCCAGAAATGTCTGAAAACAAAACCATTCTCTTGCCTTTACAACGTCTACCTCCAAGTAATCAAAGGAAGTTACTGGAAGAAAGAGAAATATGTAGTATGTGACAGTGTGGGAGCCTTTTGAAGAAAAGTAGAAAAAGGTAGGGTTGATGGCTGACTTCCAATATAATGTGGTCATTTATAAATACTATTTCTAAAATTCTTTGTCCTTATTTTAATAAGAAGTCAAAATATGTTAAGTATTTGTTATAGATAGAATTAAGAACCTGAAAAAAGAAAAAAGTGTATTGTGAATTGAAATGAGAAAAGGCAGGTCTCTTATTGATTCTTCACTCTAGGAATCTCATTAGCTATCAGATGGAATTTGATGACTGCCAACGAAGAAACAACATTTTCCCTGATTCAAGGCTGTTAAACTGCCCAAAGCCACCAAATACAGATTAATCTGAAATGCACTGATTGTTCCTGCTGGAGGTGGTTAAAAAATCAGCTATAGATACAAGAATTCTTGTTCTCTTCTTCCCTTCAGGCTGCTAAAGGATGCACAGAATGAAACTTACTTTAAAAGCTGGTATCAGAAGCTGTTGGCAGCTCTTCAATTCTGTTCAGGAAAAGCCTTGAGTGATGAGTTTTCCAAGGAGAAGAAACTTATTAAAATTCTGGGAGACATCGGGGAAAAAGTCAAGTCTGCCAGTGACCCTCAAAGACAGGTTCGTTGAAAAATTAATCTTCCTGTAGTGTTTTCTTTAATCTTTTGTTCAATTAAGTTTTAATTTCATAGCTTAGAAAGCAAATTCCTTGCCTATACTTAGTATAAGACACCCAAATTATTACTTTAATCAAAATTTTTTTCAATTTACAGTCTCAAAGTTAATGATAATGTCTACTAAGAGAACATGTTTTTTTTAAAGGTTTTATTTGTTTGAGAGAGAGAGAAAGAAAGCATGAGTGAATGATGAGAGGAATGAGAAGGGGAGAGAGAGAATCTCCAGCAGAGTCTGCACTGAGTGCAGAGCCCAGTGCAGGGCTCACTCTCACAACCCTGAAATCATAACCTGAGCCAATACCAAGACTTGGATGCTTAATTGACTGAGCCACCCAGGCACTCCAATATGGTTTTTTGATTTAAGTAGCCTTGCAGCATAAGGAGGGTACCTGACAAAAAGAAATCAACTTAAAGGCAGTTTAGCTAAAAAGACCAGATGAAGTAATTTCCTCAAAATGGCAGCACAATTCAGGATAGTAGAAGTCCAAAGGGGACTTTTTAGGGCACCTTTGTCCAGGGTATAAAATCTAGGTCTAGATTTTTCTAACACTGCACTAATCGAAATCACATTTTATTTATTTATTTTTTAAAAATTGCATTTATTTATTCATGAGAGACACACAGAGAGAGGCAGAGACATAGGCAGAGGGAGAAGCAGGCTCCCCATGAGGAACCTGATGCAGAATTCAATCCCAGGACTACAGGACCACACTCTGAGCCAAAGGCAGATGCTCATGCTCAACCACTGAGCCGCCCAGGTGCCCCTCAAAATCATATTTTAAACACTTTTTTGTCATAACAAATAAAATTAATTAAATCAATGGTGGTATGGATAGTAAAACTTTTATACTAAGTTCCATGAATGATAGTCAAAATATTGTGCCTTTTTCATCACTGATTATAATAATGGACTTGGCTCTTCATGTTCTTGATCTGATTAGAGTATTTTTGCTCTTTTTAATTATATGCATCACTAATTGCCCTCACTGACATAGAGTATTGAGTAGGTTCTCTTATGTTCAACATTCTGGATGCAGGGTGACAGTGGTTATCCACCCATTGTATTAATGACATTGTTCAGTCATTAAGTACTTACAGAGCAGGAGTTATGGATAGAAAAATGACTGAAACTTGAATTTTGTCCTCAAAGGGCACAGCTTCTCTCCGTGCACTCTCTAAAATCAAAAAGAATTTTCAACAATAATATAAAAACATTGACAGGCAAAATGTTCCAGAATTCTTTCCCACCCCAATACTTTTCTTGCTGGAAGTCACTCATTTGATTTAGAAATGCCAGAAACTCTGGCACTTCACCTCTATAGGAATAAATAAAAAATAAAAGGCATAACCATGGGATTTATTCTTAAATGGGAAACATATATAAACTCTAAATTGACAGAAAAACTTTAAAATAAAGAACATGATGAGCAATGCAAAAAAAATTCTATAATTTCTTCTTATTACTGCAGACTTACTAATTATTTTCTGGTGACAGACAAAAAGTTGAAAGTAAGTAAAATAAACTGGTTTAAAATTTATAAAATTTGGGACGCCTGGGTGGCTCAGCAGTTGAGCATCTGCCTTTGGCTCAGGGAGTGGTTCCTGGAGTTCCAGGATCGAGTCCCACATCAGGCTCCCTGCATGGAGCCTGCTTCTCCCTCTGCCTGTGTCTCTGCCTCTCTCTCTCTTTGTGTCTCTCATGAATAAATAAATAAAAATTTTTAAAAAATAAAATAAAATTTACAAAATTAGTGTATGAGAGTAGTCTTTGTTTCTTACATTTTAAGATTCCACACATATTTGAGATGCATACTACAGTTAAATAAATCTGATGCCTTTTTTGACCATTTGCATTAAATTCCAAAGTGATTTTGACATTATTCTCTCAAATTACTTTGCTAGACTGATTTTGTGATAACACTTCTTAACATAAAAATAAGAAAATAAAAATAAAGAGATGGAAGAAGCATTTATAATTTCGCACAATTCAAGTTATTGTTAGCTATTTTTTCTAAAAAGTACTAATTAGTATAGTATGGAAGTGTCGAAACACTATATTGTGCACCTGAAACTGATATTACACTGTATGTTAATTAACTGGAATTTAAATAAAAGCTGTGAAAAACCTCTTTAATAGATAATTCATAATTCTGCAAACCTACTTATAAATTTATGTCTGCTTATTCTGATAAAGGCTAGACTTTTAATATATTAAAATTGTCTCCTCTATTAGTTTTCCTCAGATTCCTAGAGGTTATTTCTTTACAGATTGTTTTTCTCTGCTGTTTACTATTAAAGCATGTCATCTCATTAAAAATATAATAAAATTAAATTAAATTAATTTTTTTAAAAGTACTAATTAAACCTAACTCTGTAAAGAAGATATTTTAGTTAAAGAAAGTAGAGATTCCCCTCCATGATATTCCTTAGGGAAATCCAGGTGTAGATAGGACAAAGGAGGACATACAGAAAGAGTGCCATGGTGGAATCTGCCTCATTTTTCCACCTTGCTCTTCTGGATTCTGAGAGCAGTATTTTCTATTATTTGCCAATGACCCAGGAGTAAAAGCCAAGAAACTCTTGGGAGTTAATTAAACATTAGTAATCTGATACCTTCATTTTTAGAATTGTACTTAAAGAGTTTTTGAAAATGGGCTAAAAGGAGTTTTTTTATATTTTGGATTATTGTTCCTCCCCCTTTTGTATCAGAAATATACTCATTGGCATTTAGTGAACCATTTGTTCAAACATGTTACTATTACTATTATCAATTGTCTGCAATTATCATTTTTTGGCCATTATTGCCCTTAATCCATGTGAATTTTTTTCTAATATGTAAATCACTATTAAGTATGAATCTTGAGAGTTACAAATTAAAATTCCAGGAAATTTTCAGAAATGGATCATGTTAATAATTACTTAAAGCAGGTATTGCAAGATGGCGGGCCACAGGTCAAATCCAACCCATTGTGTTTGTTTGAACAGAATAGTTCCTTGTTAGGATGCTTGGGTGGCTCAGCAGTTGAGCATCTGCCTTTGGCTCAGGGCGTGATCCTGGGATCCAAGATTGAGTCCCACATCGGGCTCCCTGTGGGGAGCCTGCTTCTCGGAACTCTGCCTATTTCTCTGTGTCTCTCATGAATAAACAAGGAATCTTTAAAAAATAAAATAGTTCTTTGTTTTGGTTTTGTTTTTAATTGAAATTAAAATCCTGTAGAAAAGGCATGAACTCTTTAGTTCCCCATTTCCCTCAACACTCCATATTGTCTTTAGCCTGCTGCCTCCTTATATGTGTCTACAACACCTACCTGACCCCAAAGCATCCAAGTGTGCAACCCCTGAATTAAAGAGTTTATTTAATCAATAGAAGAAAATTATAACTTGAAAGAAAATCAAGTTATTTACAGTTTCTAAAATGCTTTTCAAATGATTTTTACACAGGAGGTACTGAAGAAAGAGATTTGCAGACTAGAAGAATTCTTTCAGTGTATAAAGACTTGTCACCTTCCTCTGAACCCTGCCCTGTGTATAAAGGGTATTGATCGTGATGTAAGTCAGTTTATTCAGTAGATAAATTGAGTATTTTTGTTTCGTATTGTTTAGTTCACTGTATGTTTTTGAAATGGCAAAAACGATTTGTGAATTGTCATTGCAAGTATTTAAAAAAAAAGTAATTGAATTCAATCCAAACTATGTACCACATTTGATGCACTATGTAAGGGTGAGATTGCATTGGCCTCATCACATGATTTGTTTATTTAGAAATAAACTATCAGTTCAGTAAAAATAAATTTAAAAAGATATTTCTCACTAAATTGATTTCTCAATTTATTCAAAATGGTTGATTTGGTGACCTTATGCAGGCTTGGCTTTAATTTCATGCTATTTAGATTATGTGCATACCCATGCCTAGTACACTAGGGTATTATTAGCTACAACACCTCAGTTTTATTTAATTTAAAATTCACTGAAACTCATGTGTCAGTGTACCATATATTTTGTGATTTTACTTATGCCTGGAGTGACCTTCCTGCCATCAGAAACAATTTCTTTCTCTTTTATGCCTCTACAAGTCACACTTCTCTAGCTTAGAATTATTCTTTCTCCTTTTATCTCCATTAACTTGATTAGCCTCCTTCTCAAAAGCTTAAGAGTAGAAAGCACTAATAGAGGTAGGATCAATAAGTGAGACTTAGAAGAAAAGAGGTTAAATTATCATGCATGAACAATAAATGTTTACTTGACTGAAGTCATAATACAATCAAGAAAACAAATCCAATGATTAGGAGAAAAATCAGAGCATTATTAGTATGAAATTAAAAACTTCTGTTAAAAAGTTGGCACTGTTACCTTTACAACTTTGTTGTTTCACAGGAGCCTTAGAAACCTTCATAATATGCTACATAGCATATTTTTTAAAATAACAAAATAAAGCATCAAATTCCATAAACTGAGATATGTCTATTTGGGTGAAAATCTGAATCATTGCTACTTTTTAAAAATTTGTAACTTCTTAATCATTAGCGATATCCACTGATTAATGCTGAAAATACAAGGAAATGCAGCATTTCAAGACACGGTATCTGAAAGTAGAAAGAACAGTATGAATCATTGAATCCAGATGTTGATTTTTTGTTTCTGCTTTCTTGGTTTATTGTTGTTTAAGGAGTAGAACAATTTTCTTAGTTAAATTTCCATATGAGTCTTGGTTTTCTGTTTGTTTGTTTTTAAATTTTTAATTATTTATTTATTCATGATAGACACAGAGAGAAAGCCAGAGACACAGGCAGAGGGAGAAGCAGGCTCCATGCAGGGAGCCCAATACAGACACAGGCAGAGGAAGAAGCAGGCTCCATGCAGAGAGCCCAATACTCGATCCCGGACCCCGGAATCATGCCCTGAGCCAAAGGCAGACACTCAACTGCTGAAACACCCAGGCATCCCCAGTCTTGTTTTTTTGTGGGCCTTGGTGATATGGGATATCAGTTCTAAATGGTGACTGCTGTGGGTGCCGATGTGAGATGGTCAGGCTAAGGGTCATCAGCCCAGGAGTTACCACCCCTAGCACTCTAGCTGGGACCACACTCCTTTCCTATACCTACCTGCAGACAGTAGTACTTTCCCTGAGTCTGGAAAGTATGCCAAGTAAGCTGCCCCTTGCTCCATTTGCTCTGGTCAGCTGTGCCTGGCACAATGCTGGGCACCTGTGCATAGAGCAATAAACAGGGCAGATGCAGCCAGGTGACACTCTCCCTTTGGGAACATTTTAGTCCATCCTAGAGTCCTGCCAAACAAGGAGGTCTGAAGGAAAACACATCACATCTGAAGATGTGGTAAATGTGGCAAATTTTCAATCAGAGCCTGCATCAGAGGATCCATACTGGAAAAGAACCTCTAAGAGTGCAATGAGTATGATAAGACATTTAGAGAGACCTCTCAGCTAATGGTTCATTTGAGAATCTACTAAGGAGGGAAGCCCTATGAATGCAGCAAGCATGGGAAGAGCTGTCATCACTACTCCCACTTATTCAATATCAGAGATTCCATAATTAGGAAAAAAACTTATAAATGTGCTTTATGCGTAAAAACCTTCACTCAGAGTTCCCTACTCATTGACCTTCAAATAACTCATCCTGGGGAGACCTAAATTTCATAAGTGTAGGAGGCCTGCATTCAGAGTAAAATCCTTTTCTAACACCAAGTATGTCACACTAGTGAGAAACATTACAGTTGAATGAGTGTGAGCAAGCTCTCTGTTCCAATAAAAAGCATTTTGGTCACCAGAGAATCCATACTGCAGAGAAGCCCTGCAAGTATAATGAGCATAGTAAGGCCTGTCAGAATAAATGTCTTATTTGATGTTAGAGCCTCCACACTGGGGAATGAATACAATAAATGTAGGCAGTATGGAAAGACTTCAATCAGAACTCTCAATTCGGGGCACCTGGGTGGTTCAGTCAGTTAAGCGTCTGCCTTCTGCTGGGGTCATGATCTCAAGGTCCTGGGATCCAGCCCCATGTTAGACTTCCTGCTCAGTGGGAACCTGCTCCTCTCCTCCCTACTTGTGATCTCTCTTGCTATCTCTGTTTCTCTCAAATGAACAAAATCTTCATTAAAAAAAACAAAAACAAACAGAGCTCTCAACTTGTTGGCTATGAGCAAATTCCTACCACAGAAAAGCATTTGGAATGCAGTGTGGCAAGATATTCAGTGAGAGTAAATGTCTTATTTTACGTCATCCAACTTCACACAAACAAAAAGCTCCAGAAGAATGCAGAATGGAGACTCACATCTTGTTATATAACAGAGAACTCACATTGGTGAAAAATCCTATGAATGTAATAAGTATGGGAAGGTTCTTTGGTGATAGCATGAATTTTATGATGTCAGAGAACCCATCTGGGGAGAAAGTTTATAAATGAAATGATTGTGGGAAAGCCATTAGTGATAGTTCACAGTTTATTATGCATCAGAGAGTTCACATGGGAAAGAAGCCCTATGAATGTAGTGAGTACAGGAAAGCGTACAGTCAACATTTCTATTTTAATGTTGACTGTAGTCATCAGTAAACTACACTGGGGAGAAGCACTCAAGCCTGGCTCAATCTATTTTTTAAAGTGTGGCTCTCCAAGATGGAGGACAAAGGTCTTAGCTTTGAATTAAGCCTTCTTTCAAAGAATTTTCACCCTTGTCTCTCCTTGGAACCACTAATTACAATGGATCATTTCCTGTTTTCCTTTGGGTCACTAGGGAATGGATCCAGCATTTGGGAGAGTGGTTTTAACTTAATGTAATCCTTTTCCACTCCTGGGAAAGTAAGGACCACACACTTCATTTACTAATAGATTTCTTTCCTTTTTTTAGAAACTATTTTAAGTCTATATCATTAGTGTGTACTTCTCAAGAACAGGGGTCATATCTTCCTTTCTCTATTCCAGCTCTTCTTATTTTCTTATTTCTATTCCAGCTCTTTTATCTCATTATTTACATAAAATTATCTTCCAAGATTCCTACTCATCCTTTCCCTTCTCTTGGTTGTAGCCCTTGCAATGTACTTTTCACATCTAATATAAGTTCTCATTGTTTGCCTTTCCCTACCTAGAACCCCCCTTTTATTTTAAAAGCTGTTAGCTACTCTCTGTCACAATCTTCAAATCCAGCCCATCTCTGAAAGACTTCTCTTCTTTAAGTGCTTCTTCATTCAACCGTGATAAATGGCCTTGTCAATTATTTTCAACCTAATGCGTATGTGTATGTGTTCATATCAACTTTCTGTAGGCTCTTGGAGAATAGATACGGTGTCTCTGATACCATATGGATAGTGGTCTTTGCATACTAACTGTCAAATACAAAATATTTTTGACATGACTCTCAAAAAGTATACTGCATGTGAAAACCAAAATATAAAACAATGAAAACAAAATAGCTCTGAGTGACATAATTAAGAAGGGCTAAGTCTTATCTTCAGCCACCCTTTGCCCTTTTCCTCTTCCCTGAACTTGAGATGCTTCAAAGAGACCTCCAAGAATAGGTTGAGCATAGTTTGAAAACCACTGATCTAGACTCATTTCTAACCTAATACAGGACTTCCTAATTTGATACCATGACAGAAGGTCATATGTTCCCTGATTGATTCTTGAAGCAAGAATTCATTACTTAACAAGCAGTCTCACCCATTTACTATAAACCTCCAATTGATTCAGTAAGCAAGGGTTTCTGTTTGCTTAGGGATTAGGTTAGTTTTCTGTTGATAGGTTAAGTTAACATATCCTTTCCTCTCTAAGTCTACTGATTTCAGACTTCTCAGGAACAATGATATTTAAACTGATCCTTCAACATGTATTGATGTCATATTTTACTAAGTTGATAAATTGAAACCATCAAGTTCTTTTCCTTTATTTAGTATTGATTTAACTCTTCACTGTCAACATGAAGTCTCTAATAGCCTAAAGACATACAACCTTTTAGCATTCAGACAACTGTTAGAACATAAAAGGAAAATAACCAACAATGAAAGTGTAATGGAAAGTTGTCAATATTATAAAGCTGAAATGGAAATGCAAAGTGTAACTGAAAAAAAAGAAAGGAGGAAACATATGTTGTACTATTATTTGTAAAGATAAAAAAAAATGTTAACAAAAAGAGAAAAATAATGCATTATTTTATTTGAAGTACCTAATTAATGCCAGGCACTGCACTGTAGAAGGTCTTTTATATCTATTAGGCCATATATCTATTACAAATATGTTTGAGATAGGGACTGTTATCCCCATTTAAGTAACTTGCCCGAGACCTTGCAGCTAATAAGTTACAGAGTTCTAATTTAAATTTAGGTATTTCTTAACTCTATATTTCCTTAAAGTGTGCTGCAGAGGAAAAATAATTAAAAGAAAATAGATTTTTGAATAGCAATTTTATCTTTCAGATATTAACCAACTAGCATAAACACAATATTTACATACTACTTTGTTTATCTAAACTCCCAACATATCACCACTGTTCAGTGAGGAAAAAATGTAGTTGAAGGTTTACAACCTGCCAAGAAGCCGGATTTTCAGTTTCTAAGTAAAAGTCTTTGGCTAATAAACTAGAGTTGGCTTATTTTTGTTTTTAATAAATATAATTTCTTTGTTCCAAAGTGTAAAAATTATTTATATGTGTTACATTTACTCATATAACAAATTATACAAGAGGCCCATGATTTCAGGGTAAGTGTTCTTTTTGCTTTATTTTGCTCCCCATTTTTCTCTTCTCTTTCGGTAGGCATGTTCATATTTCACATCTCATGCTTTGCCACTGAAGATTACTTTCATCAATGCTAACCCAATGGGCAAAAACATCAGCATCATTTTTAAGGTACAGTAGCCCTCCTAAAACATCAAATTGATTTCACAGGTAGAATTATTGATTTCTCACAAAAAGAAATTATTTTAGTTGTTTTCCTCTGGCAACAAAGAGGATTCCAATTATTTTTGATTCTGCATTTTTACAGAATTATGGTACATGTCAAGCAATGATTGACAATAAATTGATCATTACTGGCTCAAGCTAGTGAACCTTCAATGGAAAACTTAAGAAGATTTGTTTCAATAAATGAAATTATACACTTTTGAGTAGCACAGAAAATGAAATGTATGACGAACCCCCAATGGGAGAGTTTTCTTTTGGTTTAGGTACTAAATTAGAATCAATATTAGCTGAAATTCAAATGATATGTTAATGCAACATAAAATTCTTATCTTCAGGCACTAGCTTATTTTAGTATTTTGGGTTTTTTTCTTTTCAAATAAATATAGGCCAGTCTTTATCATGAATTCCATAGGAAAGTAGAGTAAATGGTAGTGATAGAGGTATAGACAAGTAGGAAAGAGGGGCCAAAGAAGAAGCTATGAGTAGAAAGGAAAAATTTGGAGCCATTCAGTTAATCTAATCAATCATTTAGCCAAACCAGACAACCAGGTCTCAGAGTGAATTATTTGGTAAATTTTGACTATTTTTGAGTATAATTTTTAACACACCCATACTTTGGCTTTGACCTGTGTAACCTGAAGCATGAATGGTCACGAATCACTGGATTTTGGGTGAAGAAAAAAAATACCACAAAATTTCATCTTGCAGTATTTCTCTGCATATAATTTAGAAAGCATTTTCAAAACCAAACCTCTTAGTTTAAAAGCAGAAAACTATCCTTCCCCTTTGGACATATGCCACTTCCTTCACCTATGCTAGAAAATTATCTCTCAATCATTTCTTATTATCAAAGGCTGTGTACTCTGAAAACTTTTTAACCACCTTCATAAAATGAGAAGTCAATGATTTAAAATCTGATGAATCTTATGTTTGCTATTTATACTCCTAGTCAAGAAGCTCTTGGTATTCTAACTGTATATCAGTATATACATTTATGGCATACCAAATAATGTTTCAGTTAGAAAGAAATCTCTCTTGGCTGAGTTTGAAATTTGAATAAACATTCATGGAGCCTTTCTTCACTAGACTTTGAATCTGAGACATTGCACAATGATAAATTAAAAGATTATTATCAGCGAACAACATTCCAAGCAACTTCTAATTTAATGTCTGAAGCTTCTGTAATCATTCAAAGAAAAGTTCTTACTTCTTTGATCTTCTCTTAGAAACACAAGGTGTTCTTAGTACTAATAAAATAATTGAAATCCCCTTAAGTCAAGCTAGAAATTTATTCGAGGAAAGAAATGACGTATCCATATTTGAAGGCTTTTAATGGAATTCAAGGAGAAATCCAGAGTCTATGATTTTGTGTTTAACAGGCTGGAGATGATCTTCGTCAGGATATGCTTGTTCTGCAGATTATTCAAGTGATGGACAATATTTGGCTGCAGGAGGGCCTGGATATGCAAATGATCATTTATAGATGTCTATCCACAGGAAAAGGTCAAGGTCAGTATAGATTAGAAAGTGATTTGACTTACATTATTTATCTCAAACATTCGCTGGTAACATGACACCAGACTTTACACAGCCTTCATTTTAGACTATAAATTTTAAAGTCAACAGAACTATACAAAGCCATTCCTTTTTCTTAAAAAGAATTATTTTCAAAAGTGGTAAGCCAAGTAATTTACATAGAATATAATGTCTTTTTTGATATGAATTAGGATTTTGACAATCCAGATGTTAACTGTGGTGTCCCTTTGTGTGTCTTTTGTGTGTTCTTTTCTCTGTAAGATAACAGAAAAGCTAACTTATTCAAAAAAATTCAATTGTTGCCTATTAACACAAAATTTACAAAGTTGCAAATGCTTAAAGGGGTTCTGAAGATTATAAATACATTACAAATATGCATTTACTTTCTAAAAGACTTTTGAATAAACCATAATATCAGTAGTCAAAGATGACCAAACATGCAAATTTTGAATGTACTTCTTTTCCTTTATAAAAGCCAAATGTTAATATGGAAATATAATTACATTTATACACATTTTCAATGAAAATAATGTCGATAGTCCACCCAAATTATTACCATCACAGGTAAAAGCTGTACTTAATTACAATCACCCTGAATTGAAATAATTCCTAAGATACCTTATAATCTTTTTAAAATGTGGTCACTGCCACCCAGGACTTCATTAAACTAATTGGTAGGAATTATAGCAGATAAATCTGTATTTTAAAAAGGATAAAAAACCAGAGAACTATAAAAGGGACTAGAACCATGTTGTCGTAGTTGTTATTCAGGCAGGACTGCAATTTAACCTAACAGAAAACTATCGCTGTCTGCCCCCCAGTTCCCGAGGTCCCATCAATAGGCTCAGTACCCCAGCCAACTGTGATTTGAGATTGTAGAAACTAAATATGGAAGCACCTCTGCATTAGCTTAACTTGCAACCTGATACTTCAGGATTACTCTGTTACAAGTCATGCTACCCAATTATTTTGATTCTGGTAATAGGGCTTTTCTTCCATGGCAAGTGGCCACCTCAGAACCCTTTCTAAATCTCTATTTCCTAGAAGAGTCTTTATCATTGTTACTCTGAGATTGTAATTCCTTGTATTTACTCTCCTTTTTCTTATGTAAAATAACTTAATTCTTTCAAATCCTAATGTATTGCAAGAGTAAAAATAAAGCTGGATGAACCAAGCTGAACTTCTTGATGTCACATGGATCACCATTTCTTCAGAAATTGAATACATCACTGACCTCAAGTGGAATTCTTCAATTGCATCTACTTATTTCTCAGTTTAAAACTATAGAATGTAACACAGGCTAGATCTTTTAAAGTTAATAAAATGATTCAGCAAAAATGAATTGTAGGTCTGCCCAAAGTTGTAGATGTCATAAGACAAACAAGCTATTATTCCCAGCTATCTACCAACAATCTTCTATAGTTGTTAAGGCTTGAAAGGGCATTACACTGACAAAATACTTCTTTGAGAAAAATAGAGATCATTAAAGCAAACATCATTTTTGGGAGGTCAGGTTCCATTTTTAACATGCTTCCAAGGCTTATTAAATATCTATTGTTTTGGGGATCCCTGGGCGGCTCAGTGGTTTAGCACCTGCCTTTCGAGTCCACGTTGGGTTCCTGGCGTGGAGCCTGCTTCTTCCTCTGCCTGTGTCTCTGTCTCTCTCTCTCTCTCTCTGTCTATCATGAATAAATAAATAAATAATTCTTTAAAAAATATATCTATTATTTCAAGAAATATCACAAATGTAAGGTAAGGAATACTAAAATAAGCTAAACAGAGTCACTGCCCATAAAGGAGAGTATATTCCAGGCTGGAAGTTTGTATGACTTTATCAACATTATTGTTTATTATAATTCTGACTACTTTGCATATGATATCCTAGGATATCATGAGGGAAACCATCAGGGAAAATAAAAATTCTTTAAGATTTATTTTATCACTGGCTCTCCAAATTCGATGGACATAAAAATTACTTAAGGAAATTGGAGGAGTAGATATAAGTAGGCTCCATCCAGGTACTCAGGTTTTCTACTTAGGCATTGAAGTCAAAATCAAGTCTCTGTGACTGTAAAAAGCTGCTCCAGTGTTTGTTATGCACCCCACTCTGAGAGTTACTTCCTTATATGATACCACCTTAAAAAGTTTTGTCCCTAAGAATGCTGCTATTTAAAATATGATCCATGAACCAGCAGCATTGACATCACCTGAGAGCGTGTTAGCAGTGCAGAATCTCAGGCCTCACCCCTACCCTAAAGAGTCAGAACCTACATTTTAACCCCAAGTGATACATACATGCCCTAAAATTGGAGAAACTATGCATTAGAGGACAGTAAGAATAGAACTACTCATATTACTCAATGCACACAGAATTGTTATAAGTATTTAAAAGGTGTATGATACATACTAGCTTAAACATATAAAATGTAATTTATGGCTTTAATTGATAGACAAAACTTAGCCACCATGATTATTATAAATTAGGGGCAAGGTTTTCAGAGTAGTCAGCAATGTAAGTATTATGATAAATGGCTTGGGATTTAGCAAAGATTAATTCCCTGAAGACAAATGTGATCTGAAAAGTAATTGACATTGCCACAGCATTGTATCTAAACTGTGCTAATAATCGAAGTCTTAATTTTGGTCATGGTCAAATGTGAGGCACTGAAGCACTGAGGACCCGGATAGGAGGTGATTTCCCTTTAGGAAGTATCAAGTGAAGGAATTGGAAAAATGAAGAGGGAAATGTTACTACTAAATGTAATGTTGAGATGCCTGGGTAGCTCTGTGTTTGAGCATCTACCTTCTGCTCAGGTCATGATCTCAGGATTCTGGGATGGAGTCCACATCAGGCTTCCCACATGAAACCTGCTTCTCCCTCTGCCTATGTCTCTGCCTCTCTCTGCGTATCTCTCATGAATAAATAAATTAAATATTTTAAAATAAATAAATAAATGTAATGTTTACATTTGCTATCTCAGTTAATACACATGAGAAAATCTGCACAAGAGCCAAATACGTTGGCTGTAATACTGAGGATATGCCCAAGATTTACCTCTGCTGCTACCTCTGTTGTTAGTTTCTCTTTCTTTAAATATATTTTATAGGTTATTTCTGTAGCCATTCGATATTCTATTCCCACTCCCCATATTTAAGTTTCTTCTGATCCAGCAGTGCAGATGCCTAAAGGTCACAACTGGGCTATTAAATAACAAGAGAGGTTAATGCTGCAACCAGTTACTACTGGACAAATCCAGCACAGAGAAGTGTTTCATTTACCAATATGGTGATTTGCATGCTTTTTAGTTTAATTTAAATACTTTTATTTTATTTTTATTTTTTTATTATAAATTAATTTATTGTGTTCAATTACCAACATACAGAAAAAACCAGTGTCATCCGTTCAAGTGTTCCCTCCGTGGTCAACATTCACCACCCCGCCTTCTCCCTTCCACCACCCTAGTTCATTTCCCAGACGTTAGGAATTCTTTATGTTCCTGTGTCCCTTTCTGCTATCTCCCACAATTTCTTCTCCTTCCCTTATATTCCTTTCACTATTATTCTATCACAAAGAGTGAGAACATACACTGTTTGTTCTTTCGCTAGACTTACTTCACTCAGCATAATACCCTCCAGTTCCATCCCCGTTGAAGCAACTGGTGGGGTATTTGTGTTTCTAATGGCAGGTAATATTCCTATTGTATATTAAACCACATTTCATGTAATCCAATCATCTTCGATGGGCAACGGAGGCTCCTTCAACGTTTGGCTCTAGTATTGGAAGTCCTAGCTATCGCTATCAGACACAAAAGACATTTATAGGCCATTAAATTGGCAAGAAGAGTCAAACTCGCCCTCTTCGCGATGACATGATATCTACATAGAAAACCCAAAAGCCTCCACCCCAGATTGCTAGAAACTCATACAAGCTAATTTGGTAGGTGGCAGGATACAATCAATGCCAGAATCCATGGATTTCTATACACTTACAATGGACTGAAAGGGAAAGAGAACATTAATGAGTCAATACCATTTACAATTGCACCCCAACAGCTTAAGATACTAGGACATAAACCTACCAAAGAGGTAAATGATCTATACCTAAAAACTATAGAACACTCTGAAAGAAATGGAAGACACCAAGAGATGGAAAAATATTCCTGCTCATGGATTGGCGAATTAATTTGTGAAAATGTCAATGCTACCCAGGCAATTTACAGTTCATGGCAATCCTATCACATACCATGGCCTTTTTTCAGGACTTTAGAACAAATTATTTTAAGATTTGTGTGGAATCAGAAAAGCCGATAGAGGGGAATTATACAAAATAAACCCATAGCTGGGGGGCATACAATGCAGATTTCAGGTTGTACTACAAGCTGTGGTATCAAGACAGTGTGGTACTGCACAAAAACAGACAATAGCCATGGAATCTGATAGAGAATCAGAACTGGACCTGAACTTTAGGTCAACTAATATTCGTCAAAGAGGAAGACGATCCATGGAAGAAAGACAGTCTCGTCAATAAAGGTGCTGGAAAAATTGGTATCAATTCAGAGAATGAATATTGACACTCTCTTGCACCTCTACACAAAGATAAACTCAAATGGATGGAAAATTTAAATTTAAATATATTAATAGATAGATCATGAAATAGTTTTTAAAATTCAAGCACCTCGCTTTTTATATAGTTATATTTGGTTCTTTGGTCTCTTAGGACATTTAAGTTTTCAACTCTTGAATTGCCAAGATTGTGGAAATCAGAAATTCTAGACTTTTATTTCTTTCAATGCTTTTATTTATAGAACTGCATATTACAGATTTCTTTGTGGACATTAGTCCTGGGACAGTTTTAAATACTTGGTCTAAAGTGCTATTCTGTACAGAATAAAATCAGAAGATTTGATAATATTTACATTAATTTTTTTTAAAAAAGATTTTATTTATTTGAGATAGAACATGAAGGGCAGGGAGAGGCAGAAGCAAATTCTCCACTGAGTGGGGAGTCCAACGCAGAACTCAATTCCAGGATCCCGGGATCATGACTTGAGCCAAAGGCAGACTCAACTGACTGAGCCACTCAGGGGCCCATTTTTTAAAAAGATTTTAGAATATATTTACATTTCAATAACCTTAGAAATACAACGAAAGAAGCCTTGTTGGATACATGATCTGTAGGGCAAAGGTCCTATTCAAGTTCAAACAATATCTGCCCTCCTTTAAAAAATTATTACCATAGTTTCTCTTTAATGTTGACTAAGAAGGAAGAAGCAGGCAGCTCTCTACATGTTTACTACAGTTAATCTGTTCACTCCTAGAAATGGGACACTTAACAGTGAAGCCTTTATTAACCTGAACATTGATTTTTATAATATATTTGAAAAGTTTGTTATAGCAATTGCATTTGGTTCTCTTTCATCATAAATATGCTTGTTATTACAAGTTTGCCCTCCCTTAAGCTGTAAATGAATGCACAAGTCATACATTAATTAACCCACTACTTTATTGACTCAGTGGGAACTCTGTGAGACTAGCTAGATTGGCTCTCTACTGTAGTTCAAGAAAAAAATAGTAAAGCTTCTGATAGATCTAATCCAAACACTATAAGTAACCCATTGCTCCCCAGAATTTAGGAAAACTTAGAAGGAAGGCAGTCTAGATAAGGTTCCTTCAGAGAAGAAGGTTTACAAAGAAAAGGATCAATCAACTAGTGCTGGCAACTATTGTTGCTATGTAGTTCAAGATGTGTTTCCTACGTATTCCTCATCTTGGGAAGAAAGAATTATTTCAATAATCTCTTTTTTATCAACCAGGATTGGTGCAGATGGTACCCGATGCCATAACCCTAGCAAAGATCCATCGCCATTCTGGACTGATAGGACCGTTGAAAGAAAACACAATCAAAAAGTGGTTCAGTCAACACAACCATTTAAAGGCAGATTATGAAAAGGTTTGTCTTGCTGCAGCTAATTTTAAGTAATGTATTTAAATAAAAATATGCTCTGGATCCTCAGCTATTGTGATTTCTGAAAAAGTAAATTAAGTACACCTTGAGTTCTAATTCACTCAATCATCAGTTTAGTAATAATGATCCAGTTTAAGTAGCATATTACCTAGATAAAATTTCTATATTTGGTTTTACTTCTAATAACTATCTCTTTTGAGATGATGCTTCTTGAAACTATCTCTTTCAAATTCTTCTCCTGTCTGTACACAATGTCTGATTTCTATAAATCCACCTCCTTCCTTTGCAATGCATTTCTTCTGCTGAGCTCTACTTTTTCATGCCTTATTCTTTCAGTATTTGCAGAATGCATAATTGGTTTTTTTTTAATATCTCAGAACTTAACAAAATGTAGTGTTTTATTTGACTGCAAACACTTTTTCCCACTTTCATGCTGGCATCTAGCCTGCTGTGTACCATTGTGCAAATTCTGCCCATCCCAGGGCTCACAGCTAAGAAGATGAGTTGGTTACAGATAGTCTTTGTTCCACTTGCCGAGGCATGAACTGGTACAACAAGGTCTGCCCAGAGGCAGGGGCACCTTTATACTAATTCACACAAAGATACAAGGTGGGCTAGCATTGAATTTGCTCAAAACTGTTCAGAGCACTGAAATTCCCTCATCCTAGGAAATCCCTCAGTCTTGAGGAAACTGAGATGATTGGTCATCCTAGCTAGCACAGGCCATGATAGAGAAACCCAAGAGGTCATCTACTACAGATTTCTATGATATTGGAATAGAACAAAATGCAGGCTTTTGGGAGGTCAAATAACAAAGATAAGATGATATTATCTTGAAATCTATTTTTAGCCATTTTGGAGATTATAACTTGAGTTTTGCACAAATCTCTGGGGCTATATTATTTGAGATGTCTTCATATACATTTGTTCTTCACAACTACCATGTAAAGGCATCTTTTATTATCTTCACTTTATAAGTGAAAAATGTCTAGAGAGACTAATTAAATGACTTGTTCAGGCACTTGGGATATCTAGAATAAGACGTGAAATTCAGTGACACAGATTTCTACTCCAGCATGTCAGCCACACCTTTCCAGTAGTCCTATTACTGTGACCCAACCAATCACTCATGCTTACACCATGGTTACAGTTAAAGTTGCATCATTGTTGAAAATGATGTATACCCAGAAAACCATTTTGAAGATAAAGAGTAATTTTGGCAAGAAATCTCTATTTCTTAAAGAAACAGAAGCCATGATTGACTCAGTGTGGCGCCAATCTGCTTTCCCCACATAGACATTCACTGATATATACTGTACCAAAATGTTTTTGTACATCAACTGGATGACCTATTTGTAAGGATAAACATAAAATATTACGTGTATCTCAATATGGCTTTTTTGTGTTAAAAATTCAAATATCCAAAATTGGTATTTTATTTTTTAAAAAATATTTTATTTATTCATTTGAAAGAAAGAGAGAGAGACAGAGAACACAAGCAAGAGGAGCAGCAAGCAGAGAGAGAGGAAGAAGCAAGCTCCCCATTGAGCAGGGAGCCTGTTGTGAGACTTAATCCCAGAACCCCAGGATCATGACCTGAGCCAAAGTCAGACACAACTGACTGTACCAACCCAGGTGCCCCCGAAATTGATATTTTACATTTCTTTGGGGATAGGCAATATTGAGCCATATTGCTCCTTCTTTTACTTTGAAAAAAAAATCATTCAATATTGTATATTTGAGACATAAAAAAAAAAACCCACCAGGAATCCTCCTCAATAAACTATGAAAATTAGATCCAACTGAGTAAAAGAGATATTTTGCACAATTTCAACAAAAACATTCATCTATTAGGGCCAAAGAATAGATGTTCTTCTGTAGCATATCAAGAACTAGTCATTTGATCATAATCTTCTCTTCACTGAGATGTAGAAGTGGCTCTCGATTATGTAATTTTGCTTTTTATGATATTTTTTACCATTAGCTCTGATGCTCCTGCATTTGCTTATTTTGTCTGTTGTTATCTTTGTGTTATTTTTCAACTGATTAGGCCTTGAGGAACTTCTTCTATTCCTGTGCTGGCTGGTGTGTGGTAACGTTCATCCTGGGAGTCTGTGACCGACATAACGACAATATCATGCTGACAAAGTCAGGCCACATGTTTCATATTGACTTTGGAAAATTCCTAGGTCATGCACAAACATTTGGAGGGATAAAAAGGTCAGTGTGCAAATAATGTTTATTACAGTAATGAAGCAATACCCTAGAGTGATATATAACATGCAATGTCATAGAAACCCAGCAAATGACTTGCTCCCCATCTCTTACATCCCTCTAGATGACATAAACATGTTTATAGAAGATTGAAGGAAATATTTTTTAATAAATTGTTAATGGAACAAATTAAGTTTCCTCAAATTCTTAATGGACTTCTCCCATGAGATAGTAATCCAGTTCCAGTTGGAATTGTCTGAAATACAGTATATTCATTTTCTTATAAACCTTGAATGAACAATGAGGCATGAATTCATGCTCTTAATACATCTGCTATATTGCCCAGAGCAATCACCACTTCTGGTCTACATATCATAAAACTAGCACATTTCCTACACTGAAATAGCCTTGAATCATTCAAAAAATACCTAGTGAGCAACTACCATTTAAGGCTCTAAGGATATAACAGTAAACAAGGCAGACACAAATCCTGATTTCTTTGTAATAGAGATGACAGACATTAAACAAGTTAGCATGCAAGGAAATAATATGAAGAAATGAGGAGTTTAACTTGATAATAAGAAACTGACACAAGGAAATGGGGTGGAGAGTGGAGCAGGGATGCTATTTTAAAGAAGCCTCTAAGGAGATGAGAGACAATTGTGTAATTAATGATCTTCCTGTGTAAATCCATGAGAATAGTATTCTAAGAAAAGAGAATAGCAAAAATAACAGTTGTGAGCATGGAAATAAGCCTGGTATGTTCCAATAACAAGGAGGTCTAGGCCTAGAGGTAGATGGAAAGGGCAACCAGTAGGGGTAAAGGTGAAGAGTTCAGTGGAAACCAGATCAGGTAGGGCACTGAGGACATAGTACAGAAGTTCCCTTTTGTTTTGGGCTCAGGGGCAAGCCATTGATGGATTTCAGTGGATTTCAAAACTCTTTCCTTCTGTCCTATGAAATAATGAGACTAGTTAGGAGTCTACTACAATGATTAGGGCAAGACCTTAATGGAAAGGAGGTGGTAAAAACTGACAGATTGAGAATGTATTTTGGAGCGAGAGCCATAGAACTTGCTGATTGATCGGACACCTGGCCATGCTAAAGCAGGTAGAAGAAGGATGGAAAACATTCAAGGATGACTCCTGGATTTTTGGTCTTAATAATAATTATATCATTTACTGAAACCTAAAAGACTGATGGCTGAGTAAGTTTTTGTTTTCCTTTATTTGAACTGGGGCAAGGAGACCTAAAGTTTAAGACTAAAAGTCCCTTGCTTTAAAAAGATAATTTACCTTAAAGTAGAAATGAGATCAAACCATTCTTTTTTTTATTTTTTTTTATTTATTTATGATAGGCACACAGTGAGAGAGAGAGAGAGAGAGAGAGAGAGAGGCAGAGACACAGGCAGAGGGAGAAGCAGGCTCCATGCACCGGGAGCCCGATGTGGGATTCGATCCTGGGTCTCCAGGATCGCGCCCTGGGCCAAAGGCAGGCGCCAAACTGCTGCGCCACCCAGGGATCCCAGATCAAACCATTCTAAAGAGTAATCAGTCACTTTTAGCTAAAAGTAACTTCCCCATAGAAGAAATAATAATGACTCCTACAATATAGCATGATGAACTTTCATTAGATGACCATTATCTGGCATTAAAATGCCAGCATAAACTACATAATATCTCCTATTTTGTAGAGACATACAAATGGAATCTTTTCACTTGCTATTCTTTTCAATATATTGCCTTCTATACTGACTGCCTTGAGAAAATTCTCCACATCCGCATTAATTCCTTAAAAAATCTACTGAGGATGGTCTGTGTGCTGAGGACTATTATGACCCTGGGTACACAGAGGTTAATAGTCCACATTTACTACCTCAATGGGGCTTGCACTTTCTTAGAATACTGGAAGACAGCACATAAATAATCACTATAAAATGTGGAAAGAGCAGAAATAAAGAGTTGTATGGACTATCAGAACATCCATAGAGGCAGAATACCTAGTTTATGAAAGACAAATGTTAATTAACATACATGAGCATATTACTTCCTGATATAACTTGTTTTCCCTAGAATCCACTCTATCCCAGAAATTTAAAGATTAGATTACAATTTTGACATCTTTACTTATTTATGGTCCACTGGAAATTTGGGTTAACTCTTATTTATTTAAACAGCAACAGTGTTGACCATGGGGTGGTTAAAAAAGGAATAAAAATATTTCAGTCCCACAGAAAAATGTTGAGTGCTGTAATGGAGATATGTACCAGAGCTGATAGAAAAGGTGGATCCCAATTTGTTTGTTTATTATTAATATTAAAACAGTTACAACTGCTTCTACATTTGGCAGAGTTTTATGACATATTATATTAGTTTCAGGTGTACAATATAGTGATACAACATAATATATTTCAAAATACCACAAGTGTAGTCACCATCTGTGACCACACAGTCATTATATTATTAACTATAACTATATTCCCTATGCTGTACATTTCATCCTGTGTCTTTATTTATTTTATAACTGGAAGTTTGTACCTCTTACTCCTTTTCATCTATTTTGTTACCCCCTACATTTCTCCCTTCTGGTAACTACCATTCTGGATATTTATGAGTTTGTCTCTGGCTTTTTATTTGTTTGTTTCATTTGGGTTTTTAGATTCCACATGTAAGTGAAATCATATGATATTTGTCTTTCCCTGTCTGATTTATTTCACCTGGTATAATACTCTCCAGATTCATTCATGTTGTCATGAATGGAAAGAATTCATTCTTTTTTATAGCCAAGTAATATTACATTGTGCCAATATTCCGTTTCATATATGCCACATCTTTATCCATTCATCTATTGATGGACATAAATATAGAGGTGCATATATATTTTCAAATTAATGTTTGCATTATCTTCATGTAAATACCCAGAAGTGGAATTAGTGAGTTGTGTGGTATTTCTGTTTTTAATTTTTTGAGGAACTTCCATATCACTTTTCGTAGTGGCTGCACCAATTTACATTCCCACCAACAGTGCGTAAGAGTTTCTTTTTCTCTACATCCTAAACAACATTCATTATTTCTTGTCTTTTTGATACTAACCATTCTAACAGGTTTGTGGTTTTGATTTGCACTTCCCTGATGATTAATGGTTTTCAGTATCTTTACATATATCTGTTGGCCATCTATATGCCTTCTTTGAAAAAAATGTCTATTCAGGTTCTCTTTTTTTGGCAATTTCAAATCTTTTTTTTTATGTAATATCTGAGGTACATGAAAATGTACCCCACACAGAGCTTCACTCATAGTAGATTCTTAATATTGCTTATCAGGTAATAAATCACTCATAGGGAAGCCCTCAATCATTCAATAATTATTAATTCTATGAATGAAAATGAAGTTGGCACTGACTTCCCTTGAGATTATTGATTACTGTTCATCAGCTAAGGGGGCCAACTGCAGCATTATGATCCATTTGGATTATCATTTGCAAGATTGTATCTCTACCAGTGGCGATGTAAGGCTCGTTAGCAGTGTCTCCTTGGATTTCTCTATTGACACTGATACTTCTTCCCTGAGTTTAACAGTTAAACTGAACTATTTCTACTCATTATTTCTCACTCTATCTTTTGAATTGTATTCTAATAATTTTCTTCCAAGTCTCTTTTGGCTGTTTCAAGAGTTCATTTGAATGTTGTTTCATAAGATAGCTGACTTCTTTTGTTCTAGGACCATTGGTTGTTCTTATTGGTTGCTAGGTTGGCAGTGGGCTTCTTATAAATTGAATCTCTGTATTCCCCTAGAATACATGAACATTCTTAGTTATACTACATTTTTTACCTTACACACCTGATCTTTGGGGAAAAGCCTAGCTTCACCTAGCTTCTTCTAAACACATAGTAGAAATATTAATAACCTACCCATAATGGACGAAGCCAGGTATTAAATCATACCCTAGGGCTATCCAAATCTCTCACAGTCTAGCAAGGCCATATCATGCTCTGGTAATAACCAGTAATAACCCAAGATCATACTCTTAACATAAAATGCTACACCCACTGGGATAAGAAAGTACATGTGTTTCTACTATTGTCTACTCCTTAGAAACATGGAGGAGGAAAGTATTTGTATAACTTAAAAAGTTATAACTTTTTAAGTTATACAAATACAAACTTATACAAAGTTTATACAAACTTAAAGTTTACAAAAGATTACTAACACATATCAACTAATTTCATTTCATAATACACTTGTCTAAATCTTTGCTCAACTGCACATAAGGAGTAGTAATTTCCAGTAGTTGGTTTATGGGTTGGCAAAAAAGAAATCACATACACACTGAAGATGCCCTCTAAGTTGTAGAGATACCCTGTAGCCAAGGATATAGCATTTGATAATGGATATTGGCAGGCCAACAGAGCAGAACCAGATATAGTATATCTGGGGATAGATTTTCTTTTGATCTTTGGTTTCCTTAAGAAGAAGAGAAAACTGATTTCTTTCTGGGCCATTGTCCCTTTATAGTAATGCTTACATCACCATTCATACTAACCATCTATGTGATTCTGTTTAGAAAAATATCCATAGACATTGGCCCTCCTGATTCTTGGATTATATTGAGTCAGCTCAGCAGCATCCTCATTTGGAATTCTTGTCCAGATGTCCCTGAACCATTCCTCTGAATTCACTTTCCCAGAAATCTGGAAAGCCCATGCTTAGACTGAATTGGAGGTTCCTGTAGACTTTCTAACTTTGAAGAAAGAAAAAAAAAGTCTTCTCAGTTATGAATATGAAGAATTTCAGATACTGTGTATAAACAAACAATCCTTCCTTACTGGTTTTAATTATAAGATTAGATAAAGAGGATTTATACCATTGGATTAAATCACAGGGCAATTCAGCCCTAGCATTCCTTAATGATTCTGGGGAAAATTTCTAGCTAATCCTTACAATGGAAACAATGAAGAATTTCACCAATTTCTGAAACCAATTGGGTTTTCTTTTGAAATATTGCTT